TTGTATGTGAAAAGAATGATTTTGCTCTGAAATATCTAAAACTTTAACTAGACGGATCTAAAAATAAAGAGGATATTAAAAATAAGCCGATTTTTTCAGCCAAAAAGTTACAAGTCAAGAGAATAGTGTTTTTTTTTGTAAATTTTGATTTACTAGTAGTTCTTATAATATTGTATAATATAGGAGAAATAATTAAGATGTTATTTCTTACACATTTTTTTATTAATAACTTTTTAACGGATAACGCGCGCGCGAGCGACGGTTAAAATCTTTTAAAGATCATGATCTTGACAACATATTTACCATTTTATTACATCCGAGAAATCGTCTATATTAAAAAAAACTAATTTCTTTTACAGAGTAAAAAAAATTATTTCTTTTTAGGCAAAAAATCAGCCCTTTCTTAACATTTTTCTTTGGATTATCAAACTAATTGTAGTAATGTAAAACGCTCAAACTAATTGATAGAATGTCAAAAGTTTTTGCAACATCTTTTCGTATATTAACTTTTGCTCCCATGCGAGCAATAAGAACTTTGGATAGCAATCGTTCCACAAGCATATGTCCGCATTAGTAATGCGCCGTTGTGGAAATTGCGAAATGTATAATAATATGAAACCTGAGCGAGGGAGCGCGGCGACGCGTTAATCCCAGAAGAAATCCGTCCGTAATCGAAGAAGACAATGTGTACGAGGCTTTAAAGGAGTCAACGGGGTTTGCGATACGCGTATATATTATATGCGGGATTGGGTATCGGAGAGTAGCTCGGATATGTACCTAAGTATATATTGAGTATCGAACGTGCCCTTGAGGGATAGTACACGGCCGAACGAGAGGCGGAGGCCAAAGACGAGAACCGCAGAGATGGAGAAGGAAGGAAAAAGCGATCGAGATTGAATTATGGCTCGCGGCTTAAACGCCGGATTCAAATCGATCCCATATATCACATTACCTGACACCTTTATTCTCCTTTCTGCGGTCGCATCTCGCCCCTGTTCCCAGGACATCCTATTGTTTTACTTCTGTCTCTTCATCTTTCTCTTACTCTCGCTCTCTCGTTATTTATCTCACATGCAATTAGATATGAGTTGCTGCGTTGTGTACACACAATATAATATCTTAACCATAAATGACGTGTTTAGTTCCTACTGCATAAAGGATGATTTTACAGGCAATTATAGTACCTTTTAATATCAATTTTAATAAATTTTTCAATTTTTTTTCGATTAGAGTTAACAAATTTTTTTTATTTCTCACATATATTTTTGCATGTGCTTCTTGCAAAATCTTTTTACGTTACAGATTATCGCTACGTTGATAGAAAAATGAAACGACTCAAAAATTAATAACTTTTCAGTAGAGCATTTAAAAAATTCTTTCTGAATTGGAACAAGGTTTTAATTAAGTTAGTGAATATGCATAACTTTACTTTCTTTCCGTGTTATACTTTCAATTTTGAATATTCATTAAAATTATATTTTATATGAGTTAAAAATTCGCGAACACTGCAACTCTGTGGAAGGTATAAAATCGTACAACTTTATTCTTTACCAGAGTTGCGGCATTTTTCCATATAAGTAATATATTGACAAATATGTTTTTCCACAAAAATATATTATAGCCTTTATATGGTCAGTTTTATTTAATAAATTATCTCAAAAAGACACTAATTTTCTGCTTGTGTCACTTTTTTATCAATTTTTATCGATTTTATGATATTATGTACTCCAGGTTCCATTTTAAGAATGTTTTAAAACAAAAAATTACTAATCGGAGCGCAGTTTGCTTCAACTAAAAATTGTAAAATTCATATACATGCAAATATTATTAGACATTGAGATCCGCTTTGATTAAATCGTACGACCTTCTTCACTTAAAAATAATTGCGAGCAAAGATGAAATTGTGATTGTGCTATATATTATTTACAAATTTAAATGTAAAATCGCGAGATTATTTTCTTTCATGTCGATTTTTCAGCCTATCGTTTATTAATCAGAAAATTCGATTCGCGACAGCGATAAATCAGTCGCGCGTGAAAAGTCTTGCACATCGTGTTGCATTTCTATCGCGAAGTTTCGGAATTGCGAGCAAAAGAAAAATATAGATCCGGGAAACGAATTGTCATCATATATCGAAGCTCGCAGTTTCATACTCATCTCAGTGAACAGAAACAAAAAGTTCGCCGGATAGAAATATCATTCGGTATCTGTCAAATGTAAAACTAGCGCAACAAACGCCTTTTCCGCCATTCACGTAACAAGCAAATTCAAAATTGTCAAGCCAGGATAAGTTTGCATTCTAATTTAGAACAGTAATAAACCGTAGTAACGATACAATATTATTTTTACATAACGTAATTATGGAATTGCAGAAATAAAGATAAGAAGAGAATCCGCTAATTAAAATCTCTGTTTTAATGATACATACTTCGGTAAACGCAGCTTTTATCTTTTATACATATATATAATTTCTCGGAACGCCTGTTGATTTATTCAAGAGTATTGCTTTCGTCGCATGCGTCAATCGTAAATCATAACGAGCTGCGATAAAAAGAACTACAGTAGCTTGCTTTTATTTACGTTACCATTCGCCGGCAATTATCTCGGCGCTAATACTTGAAAAGTCGAGATATCATCAAAACAGTTCCATAAATTCGACATAATCGCGAGCGCGTGCTTTTGCCAACGAGCGAAGCCTATTTTTCTACGCCGGATACAGAGAAAAGAAGGATTCGCTATTACGTTGCAGCGGCCACCTTTCATCCCTTCCGCGCGATAATTTTCCCGTGTTTACGGTCCGCGAAACATCCTATCATTTTTCCTTGCCACCGGCCACAAAAAAAAGGAAGGTTTATATTACGAGAATGCGGGAAAGGTCGGGACAGAAAACTAAAGGGAAAAAGCACATAGGTATGAGATTGGAAACATCATCGATCGCACAATATCCGCGCAATATGCGCTTCTCTGCAAGCGCTTCTGCATTCGCGTGCATAAGCGCGATGCGTGTGCGCGAATCGGATCGAATTACGGTAATCAACCGGCCTCGAGCTTATCGGAAACGATTGATGAAACTTGCCGTGAAACACATTCGATTTGCTTCCACGAAATTCTACCTTATTTATGAGCTGAACGTCCAAAAACCTATATGACTAATTAATGTCTATTTCAACCAGTATAGATTATTTTAATTTTCGTTTAATATTTATTCGTTATGTTTTTCTAAGCAGGTATTCATAATCGATATTATATAGTCTTATATTTAAGGACACACGTTATCTTAAATACAACCTTAAGATGTCTCAAAGCCATTTCAGAGAGTATTAGTATCTTAAAATATTACTTACGATGGTCTTGAAATGAGAACGGACGATGATTACCTTAGAATAAAAAAAAGATAATATTAAATAAATTGATCCGAGATTAAAGTTACTCTACATTGATGGAAATGGACATAAGTATAAACTGTAATAAACTAGGGATCGACCTGTATTCAATCTTATCATGAAACTTAAAATTACCTAGCATAAAATACGGTAATGTCCGTAAAATACGTGAGTATTTATTTTGAGGGCATAATCGAGACGTGTCGTGCGACTAGATCTTAAGTGTGTCTATTAAATCTGTGCTATTTTCTACCCGGAAACGCGCTCGAAGTTCGAAACGAGTTTCAAGACCTTATTTTCCTGCGTCGCAAGTCACGTTTATCACGCGCCGAAACTTATGCGATGCAAATCCATAAATTTGAAGTGCGTCCTAATCACGTGCCTGTTTCGCTTCCATTGAGACATTCTCATTGGATTGGGCGCTCTCTCCTGGGAGATACCCGAGGATACTATGTTGCATAGGCGTACATACCAGGCTTACACATCGATCGTGTACCACATCCTTTCTTATCTTTATGCTTTCCGCACGATCTTGTAACCCGGACCGATACTAGGAAAGAGACTTCCTATTCCATTCCATTCTGTGCACTCTGGCGTCCTTCACCGCCTGGTGAATGCCGGAGTTCGCGCGCGAACGAGTTTTGTTATGGGAAATTGTACAGTTGTCCCCGGTATTATCGCGCGATAGCGTAAGCGACGTCAAAATGCAGCTTAGTCCACATGAAATGCGACAGACCGGCCAACCGGCCGGTGTGTGTGATGGTTGTATACAACAAATATGACTGTCGCCACTGCGAATTAAACACGCGTTGTATCGTACATACAATTTGTCTGATGTAATTTGTTCGTGTGTACGAAATAAGGACAAACAAATCTCGTCATTCAGGATCAAGTCGCTAAATATTAATGTGCTTTCAAAATCTTCTATAGCAGCCAGGTCTTTATTTTCTAGCCAGTTTTCAGCTTCAAAATTTTTCAATGTGCGACAGAGAATACAATCTCAAGATAGCACAACTGGGCACTTATCATGAAACAGTCAAAGCTGATTATCCGTCCTTGTCTAATCCACCTAATAACATGAAAAGAACCACAAAAACGTGAATATTATCCTACGAGGTTTGGTACACGAAAAACAAAATCTTGAGAAACAAAATCTTTATCTTTTATGAAATAAATCCAATTAAATTTATTCTGAATTCAGTCAATTATTTAATCGACCGGTAAAGAAGTCAGATATTGTTAAAGGTAATAATATTGAAAATTCTCCTAATAAGTAATAAATATAAATAAAGGACAAACAGACAATTGGGAATTAGCACAGTGGTCGGTGCGAAATACTCTTCAAAAAAGCTTTATCTTACATAAATGAAATGAGATTTGTACATGTTTCAGCTAGTATTCTAGCCTGCTTCAGTAAAAGACATACGATGGGCCCGTCATAATCAATGAAATTGAAGACGTAAATTTACGATATTAACAAAAATTGGCATAATTTGGTCACAATCGTTGTGCAGCGATTCTTACTCCATTAGAGAGTAGTTCTCAGATATTGTTAACTTTCTACAATATCCGACTTCTTTACCGATCGATTTCATACATATTTATCTGCATACATCACTAATGCTCCTTTGTAAGTTTCGCAAAAGTGAGATTTCTTATCTCTTTTGTTGTGAGAAATATATCAAATCCTTGTTCGAGAATTTGTTTAATTTCTATTATCATCATGGAGTCCATACCAAGTTCGACCAGAGATGAATTTGGACTTGCAGCCTTTATGTCACTTATGCCTATAATATAAAATAAAAAAATATTATGATTCTAGTGCATTTTTCGTAAACTGCAAACAAACAAATACAATAAGTATTTGCAAAAAAATAAGTCTGCATAAGAATACCTACCTAAAATATTAGCAACTGTTTCTACCAAATTTCCAAATCCGTAACGTCCCACTGTTTTCTCAGCTACGACCGTACTGCTCACAATCGGCCGGCTTTGAAGTAAAAACTTATCGAGCTCGTTGAGACAGCAGAAAATTTTCTGGCGTGCGGTGCCACCGATAACTATTTCCTTACTGTTTTCCTGCACATCTCCGACGAGACCCACGTCACCAATAGCTCCCCACTGAATCGCCAATCCAGGTAATCCTTCCTCCGCTCTCTTCTCGCAAATTCTCTCCATGACGGAGTTGGCCATGCCATAATTAGTCAGTCCAGCGATTCCTCTGCCGCAGGAAACGGAAGAAAACACTACAAAATGCCGCATTTTCAGACAGATTTTCCTAGAAAGTTTGTCCAACATGTGCGTTGCTCGAGCCTTCGGTTGGAAGGACACTGCAAATGTCTCTGCGGTTTGGTTCTTGAGGACGTTGTCCTTTAATACTACACCAAGATTGAATATTGCGTCCACCGGTGCTTCTTTCTCCGCAGTCCGTAAAAGATATTCGCAATCTTTGAGGTCAGCAACATCAATATTTTTGATAATCAGAACGTTTACACCATACGACTTCCATAGTCGAACTTTCATGCGTTGATAACCGTTTTTTATTCCATTTCTTGAAATCAGAACGACATTTCTGGCACCACGAAATATAAGCCAGTCGGTTAATTCTAAACCAAATCCGCCCAGACCTCCTAGTATAATGTAACTCCTATCTCTGAGACAATAATAGCGACGATACGCGAGAATGTGCTTATCTAAAGGTTCATCCTTTTTATGAATATTTATTATTATCTATAAAAATAATCATATTTTAAAAGTGCACGTTATAAGTATGTGAAATAAGTTTATAATAAGGCTATTTATGAATAAACCTCTTTGTGTTACTATTAATCAGGGTAAGCATACCTTTCCCATATGCTTTCCACTCGCTATGTACCTAAAAGCTTCTTCGATATTTGTTTTAGGAAAAATTTTTACTTGAAGTGGTTTGATTATTTCATTTTTTAGACCATTGGCTACCATTTTGGACAATAGGGACGTATACTTGCGATTACCAGTGATCATATTCTCCAATATAATTCCATGAAAGCTAATACCTTTCTGAAACGCGCACATACTTAAAGGATTATTAGAAACAAAATCAAATTTGCCAATCTCTAAAAAATGACCGTTTTGCGCTAAACATCGAACGGATGCGATTAATTTTTCTTCCGCCAATGAATTTAACACGATGTCGACTCCGCGACCTTCCGTTTGTTGTATTATCATTTGCTCAAAACTAGTATCTCGCGAGTTTCCAATATGTCCATCCGAAATGATGGGAAACATTTTCTTAATGAAATTCCGTTTATCGTTTGTGCCTACGGTAGTAAACACCTCGCATCCTTCGTTAAGAGCGAGATGAATAGCTGCTTGTCCAATGTCTCCAGTACCAGAATGTATAAGTATTTTATCGCCTCTTTTCATTTTTCCATAAATGTATAGGGCTAAGTAAACCGTACTGTAAACCACCGGGACTGTCGCTGCTTCTTCGAATGTCCACGTGTCGGGTATTTTCCAACACAGATCTTTATCTTTCGCAACAACGTTTGCTATACAACTAAAAAGAATAATTTTATAATAATTCATTTTTAATTCTATAATATCACACAACATACTAATTTTATTAAGTATTATTTACTCAGTCTCACGAATTCCCATTACACGTTGCTTGTTAGCATCCCATCCCACATATTCCATTCCAATAGGAAAATATTGATCCAACCGTTCTTTCAAAAGCGTTTGAGTAAATATTATTTTACCAGTCGTAAGCAATACATCTTTGAAATTCAGAGATGAATAAACAACATTTACTAAATCCTCATGACGAGACTCAACCGATCTATTGTTCTCTACCCAATAAAATGTACTTAGATCACCACAAACCTATAGAAAATTTTTCTTAATGTGTCACATATATAACAAAATATATACAAATAGAAACAGCGTGACAGTATTAAAAAAAAACGAGATACGTAATATTATTGTAGCAACTAATATGTTTTGAAAAGATTTATACATACCAATTGACGGACATGAGCGGTAGGTACAGATATGGCTTTGGGTTGTGGTAATTTCAAATGTCTGTATGATCCCCAGGTTTTATTAGATCGCAATACATTAATGGTCATATCTTTCTGCAATTGCTGTAGATAGAAGGGGTCTTGAATAGAGAATTTTGGGCCTTCCTTATCTTGAATGAGCACACCTCTAACAAGTTCTCCGCCTGGCTCTTTCCTCAAGCAATTAATAAAACCCAATAAACCGCATTCAAAATCTCTCTCTCCAACAATTATGATTCTATTATTCTCATCGAGCTTGTTCTCATCGTTCACCAGCGGCTTTAGATCTTCCAGCCAATTAAAGTTATCATTACTTATGTGAACAACAATCCTTTTTTCTATCAAAATTTTCTTCTTTAGAAGCACAATTATTTCTTCATCAGTGCATTTTTCAAGAACAACATTTAATTCGTATTGTTGTAAATGTTTAGTATAGTCAATTACGTCACATTTTTCACGCGTCAACAGGTAACCACCTTCTCTCAAAAATGGCAATAGTCGCTCTAACGATTCATGTTGTTTGGTCAAAAGGTTGAATCCAGCAACAATTAAAGCTTTGTCATCTAAAGATGGTTTTTCAGAATCTCTGATTGAAAAGTTTTGCGATAAATCTGGACCAAATCGATTCGGCGATGTTAATAGAGTGATACTGGTTTGTATTAACGGCATATCATTAAATGCTTCAAGCAGCAACGAAGATGAGAGATATTCTAATGCAACATCATCTTCACGTTCCACTAGTTCCACAACTTTCACTTTGACAATTTGATGATCTTCCACTGCGAGTTGCGCCGATATCCGAATTGCTTCGTACAAACAAATCCGAGCGCGATCGCAATGAGCTACAAATGTATATTCCTCAAGAACAGCATCTTGGGCTACATTTCGGCGATTGATTTGAGTGGTTTTAAGACCTCGTATCTCTATTCCCCCAGCTTTAATCGCGTCTATCTCTTTGTAAATTTGTATCGGTAATGCTGTAATAATACATAATATATAATAATACGCTTTATGTCAGAGATTTTTTATATTGTATGATATTTATATGTATATTGAACAAATATTTCTCAGTAATTGAAGAACAATTACGTTTATCAATGTCTGTTATAACTTCTCCACCATCCGTGATATCCTGCAGCTTCCAAGCGTGAAGCACCGGATTAATCACTATTTTTTGAATATTCGTAGGAACATACAGATCCCTAGTATCGTATCCGATAAATTTCATCTGTAACATAGAGTCCATGAATGTTACCCAATTATTTCTCCAAATGATATGTCCTTTTTTGCCTGATAAAGATGCACTCTTCAATCCACGAAACCAGTCGCTGTACTGATATCCACGCAATTTCAATTCCTTATAGATATCACGTGCAGTCATGAGTTCTTCTTCATCATTATCTTCCGGTAATAGATTTGTCGGAATCATTTCTTGTTCTGGATTCAATGTTTCGTATACTGTACCTGTCACAATAACGCTATCTCCTTTGGTTATTTCAAACTTCCCATCTATAATATTTTTATATATTTATTTATACGCATTCTTATGATTATGCTACTTTATTTTTACTTTTTTAATACCTTTCTGTATCGCAATTTTCAAATTTACAGCATCATTTTTTGACAAATGAATAGCACGAATAAAGTTTACATCTCGAAAAACTATCGGTAGTGTTTTGTATATTTGCTCTTTTATCATGCCGACAGTTTCCCAAACAAGTGCAAGATAACCTGTCACGGGTAAAAAATTGCTTCCATCAATTATATAATCACTCATATAATCATAATCCTCATTGTCGAGTAAAATTTCGACATATCTTTCTCTACATTTTATGGACTTTTGTATTTTATACTTTGGTATAAACCAATCTTCGGAATGATCCCATCTAATGTGACATTAAAGAGTAATATATGTTTTTATTTATTATATAATTATATGTATATATTATCATACATTTTTTAATATTTAGAATTTTTTTAAATTGTAGTTTTAGGGACACATTCTCCCCACATTAAACTTTCAAAGAACGCAACAAAATTTTTTTACCACATCAAAGAGGCTGACCTTTTGTCTTAAATGCATTTTTCAGAGCTTTTCGACATTTACATGATTTTTTTATTAATATATAACTTTTTGTGATATGCAAAAAAATTACAAGCGTTCTCAAAATTTTGAACAATGGTGTATATATATATATATCTATTTATCTTATATGAACAATCTTTAGATTACAATTACGGCAATTACTTGTACCTGATCGATGGAGAAATCATAGTAGTTCCTCTACTAACTGGATATTCCACTGGTGGATACAAATTTGCAACTTGCGGCTGTAGTCCAAAGTTGTAGAGCCTTCCAATTCCTTGAAAAGTTACATTGTTATTTTGTTCAGTACGTTGAGTCAATACAATGTTTGTCACTTCTGGATGCAAAGATTCTTTCAATACGTTCTGCAGAACGCCGCATGGTGCGAGTTCGATAGTAATAGCGTTACTCGGAATTAAATACAATGTTTGTTCAAAGAGAACGGTGTTTAATATACTACGCGTATGATAGTTCGCCGATGATAATTTTGATGCTGAATTAACCCATTCGGTACGAGGTATGGAAGTGCTGATCCACTTTGGACTTCGTTTCTTCGGCCAGGGTATTAGTTTGTTCAAATTAAGCAAAAGTTGAGTTTCCGCGGATGCGAGATACGAACTATGATACGGTATGTTGCAATAGATCTCCTTCACGTAAATGTTATTCACCTGATACAAAAATGCAGCATATGCAATTGTAACAAATTGTATCTTTTAAACTTAACGATTCGATATTTTAATAACTATTAAGTAAATTTTTCCATTTAGAAAATATAAATCCTATCTTCAAATCTACCTGTAATTTTTTCATGAATTCTTGTACAGATTCTGTAGGTCCACTCACAACGCTATTGTTCTCACTATTGCGGCATACTATTTCAATGTCTGTTGGACATATGTTTTTAAGATAATCATAACCTATTTTGACAACCGCCATTGAACTACGAATTATTTTTCCTTCGGCACATGCCAAACCAATAAAGTATGCTGATAAAATAGTTTGTTCAATAGTGAGACATCCATCTGCGTACGCGCAACCAAGTTCACCGCCAGAATGACTAATCATGTAATCCGGATTAATTCCTAAGGACGTTAGGAGATCTACTAAACCGACCTACAAGTATGTATATTCCAAATACTTATAACAGAATACTTATAACAGAATAACGTATTTAAAAAATTTTTTAATAATAAAATAATAAAATGTAATGAAATATCTAATAACGACACATAAAGATATTTACTGTAGGTATATTTTTCACTGATAAATATAATATAATTGATACTAACATATACCTCTGTGAAATATAATACTATACCTGAATAGCGATGATTCCAATAAACGCGTTTAATGCGTTTTCGCATACTTCTGTATTTGTCAAAATGTCCTTGACGTTTATATCATATGGTTTTAAAATATCGTAGCATTTTCTTATCGTTTTTGCAAAAACGCGAAATTTCAATAAGTTTCGACCTGATAAAATTTTAATTAAAAAATTGTGTTATTTTATTTAATATTCCCCTTATAAACTATAGAATATTAAATATATACCCATTCCTGGCCACTGCGAACCTAAAGTTGAAAATACGAAGCAGACGGGTCTTTTCATGCTATTACAATTTTGAATTTCCTTTATTGAATCTTGTTGGAAAGAATTTAGTATTATGTACCCTCTCCATGAGTGGCCGTCTAAATTGTCTGCATAGATGTCATGTAATAAACGGATGTATTCTACATCTATCGGACGATTAGCAATCTATAACGATAAATTTCTTGAAATAAAAATTACGATATAATGTCTTTAATATTTAAAGCTCTCAAAGCTTTTTAAATATCTACTAACATCGTTTAAAAATAACTTCACTGATTCTTCAGTACGTCCAGATAATATTACAAGTCTAGGTAAGCCATCATTCGGTGCTCCATTACTAACTTTCTGTTTACGATTCCGCTTTAATAACGTATGAGCGTTGGATCCTCCAAAACCGGAAGAATTGATTGCTACATAACCATTTTTAATTGGCATTGGCTCTTGAACGACACAAATACTTCCATTTATCAAGGCATCCATTTCATTTCGTGGTGACGTATAATTGATGTTTGGTGGAACAAATCCGGTTTCGAACGCTATTATTACCTTCGAAAATTAGATTATAATAATTTAAAAATTAATAAATTTATATATGATATTGTGACTTTTATCCAACAACTTTTACCAAAAAAAATAGATCTTTCGTTTGTACACTTATATATATATGTATATATGTGTAAAATATAAACTAATTTTATTATGATAAATAAAAATGGAAGCCACTTGTTTTACCTTAGCGATTTGACTAAAAGCACTCGCGGCTTCAGCATGACCAAGATTGGATTTTATGGAGCCGATCATTAATGGAATTTCTCTATTCTTACACAAAATATTGTAAATAGATATTATTTCTTGAGCATCACCAACTTTGGTACCGGTACTATGTGCTTCAATGTATTCCAAGCAAGATATTGGTATTTCGCATTCATTGTAAAATTCCGTTAGCAGAGTACTTTGCATATGGATCGATGGATATGTTATTCCTTCTTCTTTGTAACCATCGTTGTTTAATTTTATATGAGGACATATGGCATAAATCCTCTTTGCATTTTTCGCCTTTTGAAGGTATATTACGCCTACCGTTTCGCTACGTGAATAACCGTTTCCAGCGGAATCGAAAGGTCTGCAACAACCGTCGGGTGACAAAATACCTACAGATACAAAGTATAGTATTATGCAAAGTATATTATGCATGTAGAATGCATCTTTTAATATATGTATATTCCTCATTTATTGCTAAATTAACCTATGCTAAAAAAATTTAAATAATATCAGTTTCATCCTTGATGAAATAATATTCTATTTTGTGAAATATTTTATTACAAACATTTTATCGAGGTTACGCAGCACGTTGAATTCATTTATTTTTTATAAATGAGTCCTTTAAATTTTATACCTATTGTGTATCAACAGGCCAATAAGTTTTAAATAAAAATATTAAGATTAATAAATTATAATATATAAAGATACCAAGACGAGCGAGTTGCAGATTTATGAATGGATGAAAACATAAGTTTGCAGTTCCAATTATCGCATCTTCGCATTTTCCCGACATAATATAATGATAACCAAGAGCCAAGGCGTAAAGACCAGAACTGCATGCTGTATTGACGGTCTGAGATGGTCCTTTTAGATCCAAGTAATACGAAATCGTATTAGCTATTCCAAAAAGGCTACATCCGGTAATATTCCAACCAATATCACCTAACTAAATTGCAGAACATTAACGGTTACAATTATAAATGTCAAAGATATCAAAATTTTAATTTAACAAAGGCTCTCAAAATCAATAAATAAATATGTAAGATGTAGGCAATTGAGAGCAAACGCAGTTAGATTTAGCGCACATATATTTCATAACTCAGAGATCAGTATATAACATTTATTATTAATACGAACGTTTCGACTTCTTTTTAAGTCATCTTCAGCATATCTATCTAGTTTTTAATTAAATTGTTTCATTACTTGATAGATTGAGATGATTGACAATATTCCAGTATTGAAAATAACCTCCTTAATCAGCTGTGTGACTGTTAAGATCTAAAATGTGTGTGTTGTTATAAATAAACTCTCTTTTAATGTTTTAGTATTTATGACTTATAAAGTGTTTTTAAAACTTAGTTGACATGCTCAATATTTATGTATCATTGGTAATGACAAAGTGATTCTGATTTGAATTGTGGCAAGGAATTAATACTCTCTAAAATGAATTTTATAAATCTTATTAACCCCTTGAGTGTCAGTGACGCACATATGCGCAGAAAAAAGTCGTGTCATTTTCGTCTTATGACGCATATGTGCGCATTTGAAAAAAAACATGTTTATACTTCATCGATTCGACTGTAATTTGTTAAATCATGGTTTTTGAGGTCGCTGAATCCAAATTTGAAATCGGATTTTCAAAATTCAAAATGGCGGATC